AATGACTTCCGTTTTGCCATGATTAATAGTCGAAATTTAGCAAAAGGATAGTAAGTGGAACGTAATGAAGATAGGAAATAATTCTTAGCATTCATGAAGGGTAATGATTGATAGAGCATTGTCGCACCTCTGAGCCTTGAGCGGCGAAAGAAACAAGCTCAATGCTGTGCCTAGCGATCAGTCGGTTCATCCTCTCTTTGTCTTTTGGATCGGTGTAGATAATATTCAGCGCTTTGGTAGAAATACTCAAATCGACCTTGTAATTTGCCACTTGTGGAGAACCAACAATCTAAATACATTATGCAATTAATGCACCTTTGAACAAAAAACCTTAACCTAATATTACTTTCTTAATAATCGGGTTCATTTCTTGCTCAGGGATGATTTTGAGCTCTCCAGCAATCATGTTGATACATTCTCTGAATATGCAAAGTTTCAGGATGGACACTCTTAGGTCTGAAAATGAAAGGAAATGTTCATACTTCACAACAAGTTGCCGCAAATCCGGAGTCATATCGTGCAAAGCATCAAGAACCGGGACACTTCCAAGATACTGAAATCGAAGAACTTTATTGAGGTAATTGCACTAGACTAAAAGTGGAAAAAACGGGAAAAATAGTTCATTCAAAGCAAGATGATTACTGTTTCAATGGAACGCTTAACTTTCAGTAAAAGAAAATGCTCACCAAAGTGATTTTTATAAATAAATAATTGGCCCTGAATGAATATGTTAAGGTGTCCCAAAAAGGAATAATCATTGTTTGAACGACTTTGACTTTCCTCAAACTTTTTCAACCCTTGGTAGTTCATTTTGAGATATTTTCATGAACTCGAATTTTTATTCATAAACGGATCTTTTCTAATACGGTATTGTTCGAATTAACTGTAGGTGATACAGCTGGCGCAAAGCATTACCGAAACTGTGCAAAGGTCACGGCATCAAAGGCCATAATTGGACTCAGCACATCAAATTTCTACCAGAAATGGTTCCAGTGCTATTAGAACTATGATTGGCCTATGTCAGTCATGCTACAACCAGCGTTAAGGTTTTCCACCGCAGCCCTTTTATGG